GTTTTTCTGGCAAAGTGTGACACTGTGCGATCGCTAGTTTCTCACTAAAGTCAGGACACAAAAGGATAAATCAAAGTTCATAATAAATACCAGAAGCACAGTTTCTTACCTTTGAGATAGAATTTAATCTATGTAAGCCTTGTGCAAAGAAAGATACAGTCCCGGAATAAAATATCCTCAGACGAAATCGACGGCGATTTCTTTAGTTAGACTGGTGCATGCGCACTACGGTATTGCCAGTTCTCTTGCAAGATGTCGTTAAAACTCGGAATTTCCCGGCAAATTTAGGCACTTGTACTAGTAAAATGTTGAAAATCACAGAAAAACACAATGAAAGTTTGCCAAATCAAAAAAATACTTGGCGTGCATATGTATAGCATTGAGAATTACATTTGCACCAACTTTGAAAAAAATTGGACAGAGCATATCATATCAAAGTTATAAGAGGTAAAAGACGGACGGACGGACGGACGGACAGAACCCAATCTATAAGCCTTCGGCAGACTTCGTCTGCGAAGGCTAATTAGGAATCTGAAACCCAAGGACGTTTTTGAATATTCATAACATAGGGGAAAATGCAAACTCGATGATCTATACCAAGTACGAATTAGTAATATGAAACTCAACGACGTTTTAGAACATTCATAACATGGGGGAAAATGCAAACTCGATGATCTATACCAAGTACGAATTAGGAATCTGAAACCCAAGGACGTTTTAGAATATTCATAACATAGGGGAAAATGCAAACTCGATGATCTATATACCATGTACGAATCAGGAATGTGAAACTCAAGGACGTTTTAGAACATTCATAACGTGGGGGAAAATGCAAACTCGATGATCTATACCAAGTACGAATTAGGAATCTGAAACCCAAGGACGTTTTAGAATATTCATAACATAGGGAAAATGCAAACTCGATGATCTATATACCATGTACTAATCTGGAATGTGAAACTCAAGGACGTTTTACAACATTCATAACATGGGGAAATAAATGATCTTTCTCAGAGGAATGAAGATTTTGCTGATTATAGTACAGTCAATACTGACAGTGGTTATTTTATGGAGACAAAGCAAGCTTCTGAAGAAGACCGGAGAATAGTAGGCACTATAACAGAGCAAAAACCTTATATCAAATGGTTAATTGTCTATGTCTGTCACCAAAGATCTCTCTCCACAAAATACTGCATATGTACATTATCCCATAGAAACCACCTAGTTGTGTGATTCTTTATAGCCAAAACACTCTTTCAGTTGAGTGATGGATGGCCAGGGCTTCTGACACAGAAAACACATTCTATAGCGATGATTCATCTGAACCACATTGATGCACATCTTATATTTACCCAAATAACGTACAACAAATTCACTGACTTTAAAGACTATGCGAGTGGGATCATTAAACGAAAGTAGCATAGAAAAAATACTAGTTCATTATCACAATATAACGATGCTGGGAAAATAAGAGTATTTAAGGGTGTGTTTTGGAGCAATGGATTGGCGAACAGACAGAAAAGCAATTTCAAAAACTTTTACTTTGTTTTAATGAAAACTTGAAGTATACATGAGGGTAGGAATTATTATTTATTTATTTTGGAAACTCAATTTTTAACTGAAGAAATTAAACTAAATTAAATAATCATGTTAGAAATGACTACTGTTCAACTCGTTTGATTGTACTTAGCGTATGTTACTATCAACCAATCCGAGAAAAAACAGTCGACAATGACTAAATGCATGGCAACAGCCGAATCAGTGTTTAATGAAATAAAAAAAATCAAAGAAAACAGAGAACTCTAAGACAGGAAGAGAAACACGAGCGATGTATTCGAACAACAGGCATAATACGGCAGCCAAGTTTGTTTCACCTCGATCAATGCAGTAATACCCATGATGCACTATTCCCATAAGCGTGGGTATGTGGAAGTTCATGGCCAAGCGTACTGCGGTCAAGAACAAGGTAAGGAATCACGTGACGAGACAATCCCGATTTGCCGTCGATTTCCGGGTTCGTTTCATACAAGAACAGCGATACGAACTACACCGCCGAGTGTAATAGACATAATTCCGATGGCAATAGGAAGTTCGAAGGAAGCTAATACAGTTGGTTTATAACAGGCGAAGTAAATGGAAATCACTTTTCAGTCCTTGTTGAGACACAAACGTAATTTAATACACACTACTACAGTTCGACTAAAGTTTACAAACACCACGGTCAGTCACACAAAGTTCCCCAAATTTAAAAGGGATTTTTAAATGCACCGGGGAACACGAGACGAACAATTGTGCATACTTAGATGACGACTCCACGCTATACGCAGAGTGAAAATGGTAATTTAAACTTTGCTTGCAGATTTTCCCGGGCAGATTTACATAATAATACAGTTCGATAACATGGCCAGTCACATAAAATCCATCAAAAGGGAACTGCAAGTCGTATAAAGCCAAAACAGTACCATGATTTCACAACTTTCGACGTCCACAGTTTAATGTATTCCCGTTCGCAAGAACACACAGCCTAAACTATCAGGAATTCGTAACACATAATTCGAGTGCTGGAATAACAAAATTACTCATCATTTGTAAATTCAATCCATCGAAAAAGTATAAAAAACATTTTTATAAACAATTTTTATTATATAAATACACTTTGAAAAGAAACAAGATTCATAAACTTAAATCTATTTGAATACATTCTCACTACAAATTACACAATACTTATTTTGTAGTGGAGTTTTTTCACAGCACAAACTATTGGAATCATGCACACGTGTGAGTACTTCGGTGACACATTTTATAGCTACGCACAAAATAGTCCATCATTTATTGCGCAACTGTGACCACATGACATAGTTCTGTTAACATCCACACAATTTCATAAAATCTCCATGCCCTTTTTCTGACCTTTCATAAGTAAAATACACTACAATTTACTCCAGAAAAAAACAATTTTCTTGGTACATTCCTACATTCTTGCACACTAATGAGGGATTCAGACACATTCCAAGCTGAACAATTTTCTTGGACTAATAACAAAGCTGGTCAATCCTTTTCCAGCAATAAAATGAGCAAGCTTACAGGAAACTGGAATAAACTGACACTTTCTAAAATTTGCCGACAATAATGGTCACTAATCACACAGTCTAGTGAGTGTTTTTGGTGTTTTAATCAGTCTATTGAATACAAGGATCGCTATGCAACCCATCCTTACCGCCTATATAGGGGAGAGACCCGGAAGACATTGGCAGCTACTTCACAAAGGTAAGTTGCAGGATAATCAAATGTGGTGGTTGAAAACCCAAGAAAATAATATATTGAATCCGTGGAAAGGATAATTGTGAGTTTTATGAAGTGCAAGTTGTTACCGACATGATCTTGTCTTCTAAATGTGTTGACACATTTTTATGAGGGATATATAAACAACATTGGAACAATCATGCATTATCTTTGCTCATGAGTCACTGACAAAAATACAATGGACTCTGTTCCTTGCTGCGAAATACATAAAAATAGACTCGAAAGATGTTAGGAAACCTACAAATTTACATGGTATGAGTGCAACATCAATTTATGTGAGAAATGACTCACTCCATGATATCATACATTGACTGGATCCCTGGAAATAACAAAGTCAGCACAGATAATACAAGATGGTATGTGGTAGCCAAAAAGACAGAGGTAGAACAAAAAGAGTATGACAGTACATATGTACTTTACTGTAGCTGCTCAATGGACAGAGTTTTAATCGTTAAAATGTTTTCAGTTCATCTATAGATAGTGACTGCCTCCAATACTGTATAAAATTACACAACCAGTGCCAATCTGTCACCCAGTTTTGAATATTGTTTACCATGTTTAACGGAAATTAATATAATTGTATTAACTGCATGTTTGAGTAAGGTTTTTTGTGACCTGTAAGTTGTAGGTGCAAGCATGTGCCGAGGATAACGGTACATTTCTTATACACTGGCCAACAAGGCACACCGTTCTATATTTTTTTACAGTGAAGATCTACCTGGAAATTGGCCAGTAGCTTTAAACTCCCTATTGAATTGAATGTCACTTTTACGATGTTTACTAAAAATCGTTCAATCATCCCTGGTTAAAAGAAGAAATGTTTGACCACAGGTTGAATCCGAGACACATCGATTATCAGACCGACGAAACAAGTTAAAGCAATAACAAAAATACATTGTAACGATGATCCAGATCGGTAGGCACTGAAAGAGTTATATAACAGTTGTTTCAATCATATTTTAACATGTAATTTTCACGGTAAAACTTTTCTCCAGTTGCACGTTTGACAATGATAACACGTAGAATAAATACAACTGTGACTGATTGTAATTAGCGCAAACCGATTCCAAAGATCGTCATATTCATATTTATTTGTATTTATATTTATTTATTTATCTGTAACCACAGAGAAAGATGAACGGATATGAAAAAGTGCAATCAGGCATTGAATTGTTTGCAAATCTACATTTCACACATATTTCAGAGGAGCTTATGTCATCTAAAAATATTTTTTGAATTGTATATATTCTGTAAATAAATAAATCAATTTATTCACGGATGTTTTGCAACCTTTTATGAATTTTCCTGATAATTGTTTGGCCATGAATATAATTATACTCACCAATGACGGTTACAATAAAGTAACAGTACCCCGTGTTGTTGTATGCATCGACAGCAGAATACGTAACAATTGTACTTCCGATAGCGAAATTGCTGCCTGAAGCATGAGACACATACAGATCGGATACAGATCCTGAATTATCAGTTGCATTGACAGCACCCCATGACACATTCGCCCAGGAAGCTCCATCGTCTGTGTTCTGGAATATATCAGCTGGACAAATGACGAGAGGACTCTCAGCGTCTGTGTATAGAAACAAAATATTGTGCATGGTCATCTTGAAAGACAACTTTCTATTTCGTTTCAAAAATCACCTGGTCGCAAGAGTACATAATCTTGTTGGAAAATAAATTAATAAATAAAAAAAATAAATTCGTGTCCATCAATTTATTTATAAATTATATCAACACTTTACTATCTTTTACAAATTTTCCTTATCATTGTTCCGCAATAAATATAATTATACCCACCAATGACGGTTACACTAAAGGAACAGTTCCCCGTGTTGTTGTATGCATCTACAGCAGAATACGTAACAATTGTACTTCCGATAGGGAAATTGCTGCCTGAAGCATGAGACACATACAGATCGATTACAGATCCTGAATTATCAGTTGCATTGACAACACCCCATGTTACATTAGCCCAGGAAGCTCCATCGTCTGTGTTATGTAATACATCAGCTGGACAAATGACAACAGGACTCTCAGCGTCTGTGTAAAGAAAAAGTATTATGTGCATCGTCATCTTGAAAGTCAACTTTCTATTTCATTCAAAAATAATCTGATATCCTGATTACATATTGCTATTGGATTATAAATAAATAAATAAATAAATAAATAAATAAATAAATAAATAAATAAATAAATAAATAAATAAATAAATAAATAAATAAATAAATAAATAAATAAATAAATAAATAAATAAATGTCTATCAATTTATATATCAATTATATCAACACTTTACTACCTTTTACGAATTTTCCTGATAATTGTTCCGCAATAATTATAATTATACTTACCAATGACGGTTACACTAAAGGTACAGTACCCCGTGTTGTTGTATGCATCTACAGTAGAATACGTAATAATTGTACTTCCGATAGGGAAATTGCTGCCTGGAGCATGAGACACATATAGATCGGATACAGATCCTGAATTATCAGCTGGATTGACAACACCCCATGTTACATTCGCCCAGGAAGCCCCGTCGTCTGTGTTCTGCAATATATCAGCTGGACAAATCACGACAGGACTCTCAGCGTCTGTGTATAAAAAGGAAATAATATGAATGGTCATCTTGAAAGACAACTTTGTATTTCATTTCAAAAGTCCCCTTGTTCGCAAGAGTACATAATATTGTTGGATAATAAATAAATAAATAAATAAATAAATAAATAAATGTCTAAATTAAATAAATAAATAAATTTCTATCAATTTATATATAAGTTATATTAAAGCTTTACTACCTTTTACGAATGTTACTGATAATCGTTCGGCAATAAATATAATTATACTCACCAACGACGGTTACACTAAAGGAACAGTACCCTGTGTTGTTGTATGCATCTACAGCGGAATACGTAACATTTGTACTTCCGATAGGGAAATTGCTGCCTGGAGCATGAGACACATATATATCGGATACAGATCCTGAATTATCAGTTGCATTGACAACACCCCATGTAACATTCGCCCAAGGTGCTCCATCGTCTGTATTTTGCAATATATCAGCTGGACAAATGACAACAGGACTCTCAGCGTCTGTGTATAGAAACAAAATAGTGTGCATGGTCATCTTGAAAGACAACTTTGTATTTCATTTCAAAAATCACCTGGTAGCAAGAGTACACAATCTTGTTGGAAAATAAATAAATCAATAAATAAAAAATAAATAAAAAATAAATAAATCAATAAATTAATTAAGAAATAAATTCGTGTCTATCAATTTATATGTAAATTAGATCAACAATTTACAACCTTTTACGAATTTTCCTGATACTTGTTCGGCAATAAATACAACAAGGAACCTGTAGAATACTGTGTGGGTAATATTTTTTATATTGATTTTTGTTGCATTTGCAGCAAATAGTTACCAAACAATGAGAAATCTATAGGATTGAATATACCCCACAGCTGGCTTCACATACATTGTTCATAGTTCATATGGTGCTTACACCAGGATTTAATTACAGCACCTAGGCGGTATGTGGTTACAGCTTAATGTTCGATTAATCGCAAGAAATTGACATGACAATAGAAATTCATTAAAGACTGCCACTCCCATGCAATTAACAGCGAGTGAAATTCCTGGGATTGAAACATATATTTTGAAGTCACTGGTGTAGGCAACGAATAACTGCAAGTTGACAT